AACGCGTGGAGCTGCTGAACAATATCCTCTATCAAGGCCGCAGTTCTTGGGGACATTTTTTGCTGCGACATCAGACCAAATTGACTATCTATTTATCTTGAGACATATCTGTGAAAAATCAATCTGTCGCCCTGGTAGAGGGTAGCTGAACAACAAGTTTAGCTTTTCAAGCTTATTTCAGAAGAAATAAAAATGTGTAACATTCTTAGAAGTGTCGCACTTTTAGCTATGTGATTAGTTTCACCGGTCCCATAAGTTTATTACAAGGCTCAACAATTTGGCTTAACACTTCCCCTTGTAAACGTGTGGAGCTGTTGAAGGCGTGGAGCAGTCTGCTCGAACGCTTGGTGTCCTTCCTTGCAGTAACGCGTGCTTATTTAAAATAGGCCTAATAAAGATGCATACAAAGTCAATTTTTTGCTCAAAAACCAACCAAATACCAGTATATAGTTTCAAAAAGTATAATTAAGGAAATTGCCAGAAGGCATTGATTAATATTACCCGAAAAATGATATTTGAATGGATTTTTATGTTAGCTTACTATCCTGTATATACATGGGGCAGAAAAGTAGGTCACATAAGTAGGTTAAATTTCTAACCAAAAATTTAAAGAGCAGTCTAAAGCTCTTTTATGGCTGATCGAGTGATTTATTCAGTTTGTCCCTTGGCATGTCGACTTTATTTGAGTCGTATAAGAATATAGAAGAGGTGGTCTATATGTGTTACTGGCAACCCACGCTCCACCGATGCTCGATTCATATGTAATTACTGGCAGCGCGAGCCAGTTACTATAAGTTACTATAAGTTACTATAAGTAACTGGCTCGCGCTGCCAGTAATTACGCGGCGGGATATTCAGGGCACAGACCGTGATCATAAGATAGCGCAAATAGAAAATAGAAATTAGAAAATAGACATTGCATGTGAACGAAGCCTAAGCTATAAGGAAGACAGAACTCAAGTAAGCTTCACTGTTGACACACTCTGTTGTCAGTCGTAGTTGCCCAAAATTTACTGTTTGGAATGTAAACCATTTAGACATAGCAATATTTGATACACCTGTTTGAGTACAAGGGCATTTGAGCGATCAAATACGGACTGTGTCCACTGCGCGTCTTAACGTAATTGTTTGTATACCCGCATATTGAAGCAAACTTCAGTGCAAGTGCACTATGACCTATAGGATGAGACGCGACTGAAAATCAAAACAGACAAGATAAAAAATTCAAAACAAAGAAAATGATGTCATAAATATTTTAAATACACAAGAAAAAATAAATAAGACTTTAAAAAAGAAAACGAAAAATAGCATTCAGTCAGACAGACAAACAAACAAACAGAAAAACAAACAAACAAACAATCCACTCACCGATGGTAACTGTCGCATTGATTCCTTACTACTTATTTTGTCAGTTCTAGTATATGAAATCAATTTATTGCATGACTGGCACAGACCACTTAGGTCTGATGGGCGTGTACAGTACAACAAATGCTACTTATATATAGCCAGTACTAGTGTATGAAATCAATTCATTGCATAGCTGGCGCAGACGCTTGGGTGCACTGCGCATACAATAAATAATATTCATATATTACCAGTACGTGAAGTGCAGATACCTAGGCGTCTATGCTTTTTATATTAAAAAAAAAATCTTTTCAAAGTTCCAGTATATTCTAAAACTCTCTCTGTGTCTTATTGCAATGATTCTAGAACTTTCCTTTGCACGGGTCTCGGGGCAGCTAAAAGACATCAGTAATGACAAAATCAATTTTCTGCATGGTTGGCGCAGACCGCTTAGGTGCATTGTATTTTCAAGAGGTTTCTAGCTCATGCAAGCCTTAACGCATTCAGCTGTATATTCACAAACACGAGACCGGTGCGGGCGCACCAAACGCATTCTTCTGCGCATTTCTAGAAAAAGGGTTTCAAATTGCCCTTCCAATAAATAAGTAATCCAAAACTTTTTTTGCAATAACTCCTTAAATTAGATAAAGCTAAAAATAACCAAACAAACCCCTCCTTTACGCTCGCTCTTTGCTCGCTCTACAGTTACATATGAAATACCATACAAAAAAACTCCTCAAAACCTCCTTCTTTACGCTTCTTTGCTCACTATACAATGATATTTATTCTTTAACAAAAAAAAAAAAAAAAAAAAAAAAAAAAAAGAAATTGCATTGAAAGTATACTACTCCTTTCTAGGTTCAAGGTTCACTAAAAAAATTACATTAAAAGTATATACCTCCTTTCAAGATTGCAGGTTGAAAATCTCGCACCATACTACTGGAATTTTCCTGAAATGGTTGTCCTATCTCCGTAACGTTATACACCACCAAATATTCTGTAATACATCCCTTCCCCTTCTAGCAGCTCCTTTTGCAGTCATGAAACTATCGATCTTTATTTATTTATTTTATTATTATTATTTTTTTTTTTGGGGGGGGGGCTTTTTTGTGCAAATTCAAACTCAACAGAATGTATTTTTATATCGTGAACCAAGTGACATAAAATAAAGCAGGTCGTCAAAAGCTGTATACATGCACGTAACTGTGCATTACGAATATTGGAAGATTGAAAGGACCTACCCGGTACCGTATGTAAACAGGCCCACCCACGGGGTCCACGTGGGTGGGGATTGGGAGACAGGACAAGGGGGCAAACCCACTCCGACAATGCCCTGAATTAAGTCAGATAAAAGGGGATTTTGGCTCTTTTTAACAGGACAGATTATCTGTCGAGGTGGAGACCTCAAATTCCTGTTCATCTGAAATGTTGTCTTCGGGAACAATTGGGAGACAATTTTCCAATATGCTGTACGATAAAAATATTTCAACTCAATGTATGAGTTCATGTTCAAATCAAATAAATATCCCTTTACCTTCAGATCACGAAATAATTACCAGGTTATTGCAGTTATTTTAAAGGGCGTCTTACACCTCCCTTTTTCATTGCCATACATGTAGTTTTTAAACAAAATGGCAATAATAGACTGCAGTTTTTTCCTGACGCGGTTTAATGTACTACTAAATATTATTTAATACATCCCATCTCCTCTAATCAGTAAATGCCATCGTATCTTGAGTAAACAAAGGACAACATCTGTTAGTCGTCCATACTCGAATACCCTATTGCTTAAACTTGGGTGTAACTATGCTTTTAAAATTTATACCATCTAGGTTTACTGGCGTTCGGGATAAAATGAAAATGCGCGACCAGGTATTGTTAATCATGACAATTTTTATCCTTCTGCAACTGCTTTTTTATTATAATTACTATTGCAGGAAAAGCCAAAGAGTATATAAAATCTATCACGAGAGGTAACAGATAACCATGGACATATTTGATGGCGCTATGTTTATTAGCTCAGTAGAAATGACAACAATATTTCAACTACATACTACTTCTGATCACATAATCTTTACAATACAGGGATATTGTAGTTTCTTTTCAAGACGTACGTTGAAAAAAACTAGCTCGTCTTACCATCGCCGTGTAGGATAGCTATCCGTGTTGGATAGTTTGCAATAGCACATTTTTAAAAGACATGATAAATGGGATATGCTTGTCAATTTCTGTTGACCACCGCTCACAAATAAAATCCCTTTTTATGTGCTGTTGTTAAAAATGTTGTGGTTATCATATGATAACAACCTTTGTGTTCTGAACTTTAAAAAGGACAGGGTTTTCCTTCTTTGTAATTCCACTTAGACCATCATTTTCATTTTAACAGTTTTCATTGTTTCAGAAACAAGTATGGACCATACCAGTTTTATATTGGATAGCACTCAATGAAACGAACTGTTGAATTTATGGTTCATTTTTAGTATTTGGCATGGCGCAAGATGAACTTTATTTTTAAAAAATGGTAACTCCTTTTTCTGTGCAGTTCGCTAGACACATTTTATGTTTGGATATCCATAGGACCCTTTGCCAAAACGTGCCCTGATTTATACGGCCCTCTCTGTCCTCAAATATTTCCCTTCGCCTTCTTATCTTTCATAATATTGGATGAAGGGAACCATGTAGAGATAAATCCACAGTAACTTGTCATGAGAAAATGGCTTAATGCACCATTAATGCCCTCTACTAGGGCGACAGATTGATTTTTCACAACGTATGTGTTTGGATAAATAGACAGTCATTTGGTTCTCTGCCACCCTTTGATGAAATCTCAAGGCTGATTACAACGCAGGTGATTGTTTGCATGACTGCTCAGGCACTGCCACTTAACAGGCCCAAGTCCCCTTGACAGCAATCAAGACAGTTAATTGCTCTGATTTTAATCACTCGCTCCTTTGATACAGGTAAAAATAACCCTTTGATACCTGTTACCTTAGACTGAGGCTAACTGGGAAATCTCCTGTAGTAGCAGGTACAATACCATCGCGCGAGTGCAGGTCAACAAGCTGTATGGTTTCTTAGGGTAAATGCAGGTCACATTAGGTGAGCCTTATAATCGAGCTGTTTTTGCTCAAATTCTCCCACCTTACAAGACCCTGCTATTTTTTTATCTATTATCTTAAAGTAAGTATGAATATTTCATTATATGCAAAATCAATTGAGAAAATCATAATATTTATATATCAGAAATTGGTCGAAAATATACTTAAATGGCAATACACACTGTGTCCAAAGTTCCTGTCGAGCCGCAATTGCATGAGTGACATATGCACTGACGAAATTGTCAACATAGTGTAGATGTTAGTTTCGAAAAGTATTATTCATTTATTTAGCTTCAAAACGTATTGAAAAAAAAAAGCAAAACCCATAGTCTTACATTACCATCACATCTGCAGTGTTGCAGCCCATTTTACAGGGGGTAGAACAAAATAGCACCAAATCAGACATCAGCTGGACATCATTTTTGTCAGTTTTTTTTTTCAGAATTGCCACTGTTGAGACGAAAAATTAAAAAAATCCCTTCAAATAAATTATCGACAAATTTTCCAAATGAAATATTTAGTATAGCTTAACAAACATTTAATTCATGCACCCCTTACCTTCAGTACACGAGATGTTCACTGCATAGTTTTCCTCTAGTGCGTCACACCTCCCGTCTCCATCGTCCTTTAGTCCACTTTGTTCAGCAAAATATCAAACATTGATTACGTGATCATTCTGGCAAAGTCTGAAAACAATTTACGACAAGTATTCAATGTTTCAGAAAACTGGCACAATAAAAACGGCGTTTAAGGGCGAATGCTGACAAAAATGTTGCCTTTTGTTCCCAAGAAGTATTTTTCTCGAACCATTGGAGCCCAAAAGTAAACATTTGGGTCAGTAAGCATGTTTGCAACCTTGTTCGAATTAAAATACTAAAGTTGACGGCCATACCTGTACATGCAGCTAAAGGGCGTCGCACACCTCCCTTCTCATCGACATACATGCAGTCTAGTTTTTTAGTCATGGTGTCAAATATTGACTGCGGGTCTTTTCTGACGCGACCGCCTTATCACATTAACGTAATTTAACACCCAATATTCTGTAATTCATCCTATCCCCCTCTAAGCAGCAAATAGCAGCGTATCTTGAGTACACATAGGACGACGTGCGTGTCTACACGTTATACATAAGTCACATTTACAATCCTAAAATATATCGTTCTTTTCTATAACCTACCGTACACTTAAAACCTATATGTTGTAATGACGATCTGTCTCTGTTACGTGATGTGTTATTCCCGCATTAGCATGATATTGACAGCATTTTATTCCATGTGAAGCAGGCGTCGGATGAAAAGATGAATTCGAAGAAAAGGTCTCACTTAAATGTTGTCGTCGAAGCCGTTCAAAAGAATCCTATCCGAGATATTCCAGCCAAATTGAATTTTTCTCAAAAAATAAACAATGTTTTTCTACAGGCAATTTATTGCTCTACCAATCCCCTTAGTCGAGAATGATGTTTTATACTGCTTTTGATATTTGATTTCTAAATTCTGACCTACATGTCTTCCTGTACATATCAGAGGGAAAACGACAACATGTAATTTTTAAAATGTTAACTGTGTTATCACTTTTGAGGTTTGCAATGGATACTTAAGGTACATGTTACTTTGAAGGGAGGCGAGGCAAGCGCCCGCTATCCCCTTTTATGTCCTGACATCAGTGTCAGCAATGGTCAATGAAAATATTTTGGTATTGAAACACATAACCCCCAGTCCTATTTGATTATCTGTCGAGGCGGAAAGTCAAACTTTAACTGCAAATGTAACTAGGAAGTCGTCAGAACGAAATCGTTCACAGTTTTCTCTCAGTTTATACGTTAAAAAAAAAAAAAAAACATAGGGATTAACATCCCCTTACCTTAAGAACATGCACATGTATCAGTTATTCTTCACGAGCGGCCACGGGTGCAGGGACGCATGTTTTATCAGTTTTATGGCAACTGAACAACACCAATGTTCCAAAACAGTCCATGACCCATGAATCGTAGAGCGTGTCGAATTAGACCAGAAAATTGGCAAAATCTCACGATTCCAGCCGAATCCCACGAATATTCGTAACACTATCGTACCTGTATCGTAAGTGAATCGTGAGCGTGACGAATAAGACCAGAAAATTGACAAAATCTCACGAATCCTCACGAATCCTAAAATTTGTCAATTCTTGGCGATTCGTGGGATTCGTGGTCTGTGTGAAATAGGGGCCTTAGGGATTATGTTAACGCGATGCAGTGGTACCTACCTTGCAAAACCCCCACACGGTTCTGTACCCGATTTGCCCTAAAACCAATATTTGGTAATAATTTTCATTAGGGTGTACGACGAAATTATTTTAAGTCAGTATAAATTGACGAACCATCATTAAAATATCCCCTTACCTTCAGATCATGGAATCCTTACTAGACTTGAAGTTCGTTAATGTTGTCTGACCGCTCCCATCTCCATCTCCAAGGATGTAGCCTAGTTTGTGAAAATAAAACAACAAGTCTCTTATAATTCTAGCCTTTAAATTTTCCTTATGTGGTCGCCTTATCTCAGTAACGTCAGGCGACACCCAGTGAAATACATCCTACCCTCCTTTAATGCCCCCGTCACACTAGAGGATGAATGAGCAAGAATGCCGTCGGAAAGACAATTCTTTGTGCGTTCCTGGATATTCGAAGAGCATTCTAAAAATTCCGAGTGCATTCCAAATAATTTTACCCTTTTCATTGTGGCCGACCCGAATGTTTTGCTCATGTTAAAAACTTTCGAAGTGCATTCCAAGTGGAAGATTATCGAATGGCATTTGAATAGTATTCTGACTGCACTATGACTGGATTCTAAATATTCTCACGGCATTCCGAAAGCATTTGAAACATTCTGATCACATTCGAGGGAGAACCGTAATGGAAAGACACTTCAAATCCTGCTAGAACGAGCCAGAATGCAATTCGAATGCATCTCGATCCTATTTCAGCCAGCAATCGAACTACACTCGTAGGGGATTCGAAGTGTATTCTAAATATTCTGACTGCATTCTGACAGCATTATTGATATTCCTAGTTTTCCAACTACATTCGAGTAATAGATAACTTATATATAATATATTACTTATTACATAGAATATAGACAAATATATATAATATATGACTTATTACATAGATAAAAAGGTTCGTGCGATAAAGATACAGTTCAAAACAAATACATCATGGGCGAATTGCCCATCTTCGCCCACATGGGCGAATTGCCAATGTAACAAACTGTCCATAACCTTGAAACTGTGATTAAAAAAACGGCGTTCGAAGTCTACGTAACGCTGCACTTGCTTACCGGGCTTTAACTCGCCACTTTGGACAGGCATTGGCAAATATCTAAGTTCGTAAATAAATTAAACTTCTATGTGTACAGCCATTAATGCTTTTATACATGTACATGTGCCATCAGTAAATAAATTATTCTCTATTTCATATTTCTCAATACTATGCAAATTGCCAAGTTGATATATATTTCATGTGATGGATCTGGAATGCTATATCCTAATAAAATATTTTTAAAACGATTCAAATAAGTTTAAGTATTTGATGTGTGAAAGGAAAATAGGAAATTCCAATGGGATGGAGATTATCTACTGACAATCAAAGCCAATTCAAATGTTCAAGAAATCTACTTATTCATTTATTTCTTTCTTCACTTTCACCTTTGAGATATTATACATGTACGCTAGGGTTGTTTTAAATACGAAATCTATAGATTGTTGCCTGTTACCGTTCAGATGAAATGCCATCATAGACAGAATTGATTCGGGACACTTTTCTAAATAAGTGTAAGATAAAAACAATCCCCGACCGCCTTATATCAGAAACTTAATGTAACGCTAAGTATATTTTAATATATTATCATAATAATGTAATGTAATAATGCAAAGTAATGTAAAAATGAAATCGAAATACCTAAAAGTTTTCTCCTTTTATTTGGGTTAAACGATAAATTATTTGATTTTGAATTACAATTCAGACCCTACTAACAAAATCAATTTTGTGTTTAGGAGGATAATTCGAATTTCTGTTTAAGTGAAACGCGATCTTCGTCATAACTGACTCGATAACCAGCATTAGGATAACTAGTTTTCAGGATAAACAGGCCCCGACTGTTAAGATAATGATAATATATATATGAGAATATAAACGTTGTTCATGGAGCGCATTCCCAAGCTTCTTGGAAGTTTTTTTTCTAGTAACAAAATATCGCAAGATGAATTAAGGTCATTTTTAAAGCTGTTGGACTAATTCAGGTAGAACGTTTTTGATTTTATACAAGGAAATGGGTATCAGTTCCATAAAATTTATTCAAGGCTCATATTTTTTCTCTGTTATTTAAACTACAAGTATACTTTATTTACCTTTCTCATACAGACATAAACATATTGAAATATCAAGAATCCAGTCGCTCCTTTGACGAAACGAAGATTTTCAATTTCTGTTCATTAAAAGGTCGTTACAGGCTTGGGGACAATTGTACATGATAAAAATTAATAATTCATTTCAGATTTTTAAACTGTGGGCAGTAGGATAAAAATATCTTACCTTTAGTACAAACGGCATTTACTATGGTACAGCGGTTCGTTCTCGTCTCTTCATCAGCGTAATTAAGGCGAAGTTGTTCGTCAAATATCAGTTGTACACTGCTATTATTTACTGACGCGGTCGTCTTATATCTGTTTATTTCAATACATTATACCCCCCTCTAGGCAGTTAATGACAGGGAGACCATGTGCAAGACCTGGTACAGGTTAATGGTTAAATATTAATGACGTGTTCCAGTATCAATGTATATCATGTATGACTGTTTAGGTATGATAATATATTTCAGTGTGTGTGTGTGTGTGTGTGTGTGTGTGTGGTTGATAGACGCTAAAACTGCTCTCTGTGAACATCCCCAAACTTCTTATTTTCTTTCATACGATGAAAAATTGCACCAAAAGACAAGGTCATTTTGTCAGAAGCTGTTGCAAGCATACACTCCTGGAGACATTAATAAATCCTACTAGCAAGTTTTTGTAAAGGGATGGAGGCACACATGTCAATTATAAAAAGCGCCGTTCGTCTGTTTATTTTTTGTTACCGTTAAAACATTTAAAACATTACATGTCTCTTATTCACACACTAAAACAACTTTTCGGTTAATGAAACCCACCCTCTGGCGGTTACGAAGGTGGGGTTTGAGGAGAGTGCCTACCCCCCCCCCCCCCCCCACCCCCC